CCGCGGGGGTCGTCGCCGTGACGAGCGGGCGTGCCGCCGCCTCCCGCCGCTGAGCGGGGCGGCCGCTGTCCCTTCAGCACCGCGCGGCCCGCGGGGCCGTCCTGCCTGCCCTGCCCTGCCCTGCCCTGCCCTGCCCTGCCCTGCCCTGCCCTGCCCTGCCCGGCCCGGCACGGCCCTGCCCTGCCCGGCACGGCACCAGCAGCCCACGGCACCGGCAATCCCCAGGCACCGGCAATCCCCCGGCACCGGCAATCCCCAGGCACCGGCAATCCCCAGGCACCGGCGCCACCTGGCACCAGCATCCCCGGCACCGGCAATCCCCCGGCACCGGCAGCCCCGGGCAGCGAGGCGAGCCCTGGCGGCCCCCGCGGGCGGCGGCGATGGCGGGCGGGGGCCGGGGGCAGCAGGGCGCGCCGGCGGGGGGCCGCGGCCGCTGAGGCAGCAGGTAGGGCGGGCGCCGAGAGCCGCGGAGCCGGGCGGGGCGGGTTCCCCGCGGGTCGGAGCGGGGCTCCGGCCCCTGAGGCGCGGCGTGGGACGGGAGCCCGGGCGGCGGCGGCGGGGGCTCCTGGTGTGGCGGGGCCGGGAGCGGCGGGAGGGAATGAAAGGTCCGCGCGGCCCCGTGGCACAAAGGCCGTGAGTAACGGGATGGGGGGGGTGGGAGCGAGAGCCGCAGCCCAGGTGAAGGGCGAGGGAAGGGACAGGAGCCTGCAGCGGGAACAAAGGAGCCTCCCTCAAGGTCTTCAGTGGGAGGTGGGAGAAAAGGGGGAAAAGGGGAGAAACGGAGGCAGAGGGAGAAAAAGGGAGGGAAGGGGAGTGAACAGGAGGAAAAGACAGAAAAGGGGGAAGGGGAGAGAGGGAAAGGAGAGAAGAAAAGAGAGAAGGGAAGAAAGAGGAAGGAGAGAATGAGAGAGGAAGAAGAAAGAAAAGAAAAGAAAAGAAAAGAAAAGAAAAGAAAAGAAAAGAAAAGAAAAGAAAAGAAAAGAAAAGAAAAGAAAAGAAAAGACATCAATAGGTGAACATGATTTGTTCATTCTGCCAACTTTCTGTGTAATTGTATTCTAGGTTTTCATTCCCTACCCACCTTTGGAAGGAGCTCACTATGACAGGGCAGAGTCTGAGGGCTTTGTCTGAAGCGAATTTTGAAGACAATGAGATCAGCATCAACGTTGGAGGCTTTAAGAAAAAGATGAGATCCAACACATTATTAAGGTTCCCCGAGACCAGGCTGGGCAAATTGCTGAGCTGCCACTCAAAGGAGTCGATACTGGAGCTTTGTGATGACTATGATGACACCAAGAATGAATTTTATTTTGACAGGAACCCCGAGCTCTTTCCTTATGTGCTACATTTTTATAACACTGGCAAGCTCCATGTGATGGGTGAACTCTGTGTGTTTTCTTTCAGCCAGGAGATTGAATACTGGGGAATCAATGAATTCTTTATAGACTCCTGCTGCAGTTATAGCTACCATGGGAGGAAAATGGAGCCAGACCAAGAGAAATGGGAGGAACAAAGTGACCAGGAAAGTACAACATCTTCTTTTGATGAGATTTTGGCATTCTACAATGATGCCTCTAAATTTGACAAACAGCCCTTTGGAAACATCAGGAGGCAGCTCTGGCTTGCTTTGGATAATCCTGGGTACTCAGTTTTAAGCCGCATCTTCAGTGTCCTTTCAATAGTGGTGGTGCTGGGCTCCATTGTGACCATGTGCCTGAACAGCCTCCCAGACTTTCAGATTGTTGACAGCAATGGGAACCCTGAGGAAGACCCTCGCTTTGAAATCGTGGAACATTTTGGTATTGCATGGTTCACTTTTGAACTGGTGGCGAGATTTGCAGTAGCTCCTGACTTTTTAAAATTTTTCAAGCATGCCCTGAATTTGATTGACCTAATGTCTATCCTTCCATTTTATATTACATTAATTGTCAACTTGGTGGTGGAAAGCAGTCCTACTTTAGCGAATTTAGGCAGAGTAGCACAAGTCCTGAGACTCATGAGGATCTTCCGCATATTAAAGCTTGCTAGACACTCCACAGGTCTCAGGTCTCTCGGAGCCACCCTGAAGTACAGCTACAGAGAGGTGGGGCTTCTTTTACTCTACCTCTCTGTTGGCATCTCCATTTTCTCAGTAGTGGCTTACACCATTGAGAAAGAAGAGAATGAGGGGTTAGCCACCATCCCTGCTTGTTGGTGGTGGGCTACTGTTAGCATGACCACAGTTGGCTATGGGGATGTGGTGCCAGGGAGCACTGCTGGCAAGTTGACGGCATCTGCATGCATCCTAGCTGGTATCCTAGTGGTAGTGCTTCCCATTACACTGATCTTTAATAAATTCTCCCACTTCTATAGGCGTCAGAAGCAGTTAGAGAGTGCCATGAGAAGCTGTGATTTTGGTGATGGCATGAAAGAAGTTCCATCTGTCAACTTAAGGGACTACTATGCTTATAAAGTTAAATCCCTTATGGCCAGTCTGACCAATATGAGCAGGAGTACCCCCAGTGAGTTGAGCCTGAATGATTCACTGCATTAGTGTACAAGTCTGACAGCAGTTTGCATGAGAGCTATCAAGAGCTATGTTTATAAATGTTTTCCTATTTGTCTTTTTTTTTTTTTTTCTAGAAGATAGTGTTGCTGACACTGCACTTTGCACTTGAGAAACTAAAGACATTTCTATTACAACTTAACGGTTTGCACATATTTGTCCTGTTGCATAAGGGTACTAAATGCTGACTTTTCCATACAAATGTTACCACTTCCATTAGTGTTAGTGGTATAGTGATGATCTGTTATTTTGTGCATTTTCTCATCTGAGCAGAGAAATGAATGTACCCAAGTGGAATAAAAAGTCCCAGCTGTGACATGAGTAATGAAAAAAATGACCTATCACCTATACTGGTGTCTGTACTAGTATAGGACTTCCCATGCACTTTACAACAGTTTGAAACAGCCACCTGTGAGTCACTGATACAGGAACACTTCTACCTATATTGCTGACCAGTAATTCTGATTATCACTTGCCTGAAAACTCCTCTGAGTTTGCTTACTCTTGAGTATGTGTGTTAAAATCTGGGTGTTCTTGTTCTGAAATGTTATGTACAGTAATATTTTTCAGAATCTCTTGGGCAAAGACCTTCCTCTGTTTCCAAGATTAGATCAATAGTGAGCCCTCTGAAGAAGGCCACCCCTCATTTTCAGATAGCTACATATTCAAAGTGACTCTAGGTATGGAAGCCCATATAGAACTCTCAGGATCCCATTTCCAGAAGGGATCTGTTCACAGCTCGGTCCCAGTGCATCTGCAAATGTGTTGTATCAGTCACTCAGAATGGTTTTGAGATTTAGACACGTGATGTTGTGGGCTTCAAACAATTAGAAGCTCCAATGAAAATCTTGGATTTGATTAATGAAGTGAAATATTCCCACATGAACATTACAGGCAGCATTTTAGGAATTGACATTCATATACTGCAAAAAGACTAATTATAAAGATGCCATATGTGGTGCTGAGATATGGAATCTAATTTTATCAGTAAAGCTCAAAAGCAGGTGTTGATGACAGACAATTCCATTAAAATTTCTGCCAAGGAATCTCTAAGCAAAAAACCATTTTCACTCAGAAAGAAACTCTGAATTTACAGCTAAGGGAGAGTATAAGGGCCTAAGAAGAGAACAAATAAAGAGCTTAATACTTCACTATCTGTGGGTAGATCCTCCTACCTACTTCTGTGATGTAGTCAATTTAAATCCCTTCAAGGGCTGGCATGTACTTGCTTTAAAAAACCCCAAAATCAATGAGAGAACAGATCATATGCGATTTCAAGAGTAATAATGAATCTGCATAGAGTTGTTTTTTGAGTGCTCAGTCTCCTCCCTTACACAATTGTACAGAGATCAAACACCTGCAGTCAACAGGCAGAAGCCACTGCTTCACTCTTTTTACTTCTGTGCTAGAAAACAAACTACTTGTTCAGTGGGCAGAACAGTATTTCTCTTCAGATCCTACTGCTTTTCCATTCCATTCATTAGGTACAATGTTCCAATTAATGTTTTTGTTAGTTTTACTTGTGAAGACTAGAGAGGTACAGAAATTAAATTCAAGCTAGTTAGAAAAGAAATTAAAATACTAAAGCTGAAATTGTCTTGTTTGAAGATTGTGTTTTTAAACAATGACAAAGGGTGGCTCAACTGACAAAATAAAGCAAATATGGTACAAATAGGTAATTGTCTCATTTAGGCTACTAGAGGTTGCAGCTTGGTCTGGATCTTTTGATGCTGTACCAGCTCCCCTAAAAAACAGAAAGCTGAGAACCCAGGATTGGGTTTGTGTTTGCCCAGTGGTCTATGACAGAACACACAGTGTGAAATAACTTACCCCCCACCCCATTTCTGTTGGGAATGAACTTTACCCAGCCTCCCCTCACATCAGTTAGTAGCTGGTTTAGGCCATGAAGTGTGAGGGGAAAAGGTCATTTCCAGCCATACCAATTTTCAACACAGCCTGCACAAGTTATAAGTCAATTGGCAAGCCACTGCTTGCTGTCCCTGAAATTGAAAGCGCCATATACATGGTCCTGAAGGTAGAACTACATAACCTGAATTTGGTGTCCAAACTTGAAACATTTTGCTAAGGTTTACACTTCTGGATAGGGCTGGTTCAATTCAATTTATGCTGACTCCCAGGCATAAATTCAATATTCCTGTCCCTGATTCATACAGCACATGTGTAAACTGTGACACACCCACAAACAGCCACCTAACACACGGGGCAGCATGAGGTCACCAGTCAAACTGAAATACCAAGAAAGAAACAGGGGGAGGAAGAGGTGGGCATGGGCAGCTCATGCCCTCCAGTCAGGTTACGTGCTGCAAGGGTGGCAAATTCTCTCACAGATGCAAAGGACACTGCAAACTTTGTCTGTTGGTTGGGGCTTTTGGAAAACTCCACTCCAAGCAGTGGTTTTATCTCAGTTTCATAAACAGTAGATTTACAGAGCTGAAAACCAGGGACTTTCAGAGCAGTTATTTGATGAGACCCGTAGATTTGCCAAACAGCCCCAAATTCCCTCAGCTGTTGCTAGTTTAACATTGCAAAGACTGGATTTAACTTTGCAACACATCATTTCAATAACCTATAGCTTGTCTTATGTTCTAGATTTATTATTATTTGTAGGGCTGATGCTCTGTCATTTCTGCAAATATTGACTGGAACGTGTCCAAATTGCATTCTACTAAAGAAAATGAAATACCCAAAGAATTCCAGCTCTTATTGTACTGGTTGAAAGGAATTTTCATTATTGCATTTTTATATAAGCGCTTTTGATCAAAGACACTAAATAAATAAAGTACTGAAATTTAAGATGTTCTTATTATCATGACAATTACTTTACACAGTGCACAGGAATTCCGTTCATAAACTTAACTAACTCCATGTTAAAAGTAGTCACATTTTTTCTCCCCCCTCCTCCTGAAGACCATTCCAGAGCTGTGTTGCTCTCCTTGCACAGCTTTTAGCACAATTTTATTAATGGATGCTTTATACCAGTAGTTTTTTTTTTCTTTTGTCAACACTGTTCTTTAGCTTAAATATTTCATTTTCCTCTTAGTGTATTTATAGGCAGCAACCATATGGCCTTACATACGTATTTTCACAGCTTTATACCTCTCAAGCTTCCTTTTGGTTTTCTTTTTGCAAATCCTGTTCCTCTGACCACACTAGAGGATACAGCCTCTTTTTTTTTGCATTACTTCTACTTAGAGTTATTATGTTTGAGCACTGGGCAGTATTGTATAGCAGCTTCAATATTTGCTTATGACTAACAGAATTTTTCACTGAACAGAATAACAATTTAATGATTTAAGTAATGTTACTGTCTTAGCTGCCCCAAAATATCTAGGTAAGGAAGAATAAGGCACACCTTTCCTGCCATTTTTTGAAGTAATGTCTAGTCTAGGGATCAGTGCACGAAGTGCTGAGAAAACTTATCTCTCATTAAATAAAAGCTACAGGAAAATGTTTACATTACACGTTGAAGAAAAAAATGCAATCTCTCCATAGCCTCCCAGGAGAGAAGAGGTGGGGTATTTTTTGCATAGTCAGTACTTTTGCCAGATTTCCTCCCTCACTGTTGTGTGAGAACAGGGCATCTGCACTTCCATAAACCACTGAAGGATCAGAGCACTACTTGGCCACTTTCTCCAGAGCTGGAAAATTTCTGTGGTGAGAAATCTCCTTAGTAGGGATGTGCAGTTTACCGAAGAAGATTGATTCAGCCGGTGCTGCTCCTGCCCGTGACAGTCACCTTTGTGGCACCAGTGGAAACGCTGTGCCTACTCTCTTTCATCTGAGCGCTTTGTACTGTTTAAATGAGAATTGTGGTAATATTTCAAATGAGGTAACTCGTGTTATTACCAGGAATAAACTGTTAGAGAATCTGTATTTCTAGTACAAATCTTGGCTATTATGAGAGTCAGAGATGCCCTTGAGAAGCAATATGTTACATTATGTTCCTGAGATGTAAAATCTATATATAGATTGTGATTAAGCTTTTTATGTATGTTCAGATTTTGTATTATTGCCTGGTTTATTACTCATTTACTTTCATCAGTTGCTAATTCTTTCTTTCCCTGCAGACTTTCCATTTTGAAAACAGACTGGTTTTTCCTTCCATGTTATGTAGAGCATGGGCTACTTCACATTGCAAACTTAAAACCAAAAAACTTTGCATTATTTTTCCAAATTTAATACCTTCAGTATTTGTACATTTTTGTATAGAACTTTACAAGACTGCAGGGAACTACTTATCTGGTGCTTTTTGTACTGTGTGTCTTGTCCCAGTAGTGTGTAATGCACTCAAGAACTCAGTTTTGTGCAACAAAATGGAAATTAAATGCATAAAAAAATTATCTTTCACCAGGGATCTAGAACTGATTTAAGTTTCAGGACATTCTGAGTATATATTATAATCAAAGAGAAGCCTGGGCCTCATTGTGAAGATAAGTTTTTTTAAACATGCACATCAGGCTAGATTTCTATTCTTAGAAATGCTCTTAATTGGTGATGGTGGTGGGGAACCCACATTTTTCAGTTGAACAAACAGTACAAGCTTCTTGTTCTCCACCTGACAGATTAGGGACTAAGCAACATACCACCAGCATTTGTAGGCACTAAATCAACTTGACACGACCTTTCATGTCTTCCAAAATAACCCCCATCCCTAGAGGCCCCAGCTGTGCACATATAAGCAGCAGAAAGCCCCTGGAGTAACTGCTCCTGCTGTGCTGGTTATCCATTTCCTCCCACAGTACTCCTGACTTTAATCTACCTTTGATGGTGCTTTCAAACAACATTCAGCCCAAGGCACCACTCATATCCCTCGGTGAGGTGTTGTGCCAGAACTATTCTTTTTTCACTGTGTTATTCTTATTTTCTTTTCCAATTTATGCACCTGGCTTCCCATTAAGTTACACCAGAAATTAACTTGATCTCCTGTAACTAACTTTCAACTTACACACTACTCAGACAGGGCAAAAGAATGTTCCCATCTGATTTCTGAAGTTTTTTTTACTGATTCTGCCTT